GGGCATCCCTCATCCGCACCCTTACTCTCGCTAGCTAAGAATAATACTGAAATAATGTTTGATTCCAAACACCTTTGTGAAGTTTGTCCTTTAGCCAAACAAACTCGATTACCTTTTTCTACTAGTACTATTAAATCTACTGCACCATTTGATTTAATTCATTGCAACATTTGGGGACCTCACAAAATACAAACACATTCTGGGGCACGCTATTTCCTTACTATTGTGGATGATTTCACTCGTTTCACATGGGTACATCTTATGAATTTTAAGTCAGACACACAAATGTTATTAAAATCATTTTTTTCTTGGGTAAAGACTCAGTTCCACACCAACATTAAGGCTCTTCGTGCCGATAATGGTGGTGAATTCATTTCCATGCGTTCTTACCTAGACTCTTGTGGCACTATTTTACAACATTCTTGTCCTTACACACCACAACAAAACGGGGTAGTCGAACGTAAACATAGGCATCTTTTAAATGTAGGTCGTGCTCTCCGTTTTCAGGCCAACTTACCTTTAAAATTTTGGGGGGAAAGTATTCAAACCGCTTGTTATCTCATAAATCGCCTACCTACACCCTTGCTCTCTCACAAGTCTCCCCACGAGATTTTACATGGCAAACCACCCTCTTATGAGCACTTGCGAGTTTTTGGATGCCTTTGTTACGCCACCAACCTCACACCCACCCACAAATTCGACATTCGTGCTATACGTTGTGTTTTCATTGGATACCCTCTTCATCACAAGGGTTATACAGTATATGATCTAGCCACCCATAAATTTTTCGTGTCCCGCGACGTTACATTCCATGAACACATTTTCCCTTATACCACTTCACCACCCACGGACCAAAATGATTTTCCCATTTTACCAATGGGGGTTCGAGACTTGGGAGCAGCCTCTCCATAAATGGGGGTAAGGCTAGCCGACATTCACCTCTCCCAGACCCTGCGTAAAGCGGGAGCCTTGTGCACTGGGTACGACCTTTTACCAATCCTTTATTCACCACATTACCCAAATGAACCCATCATTCCCAATGCACATGAATCCCACGGCCCACATGCAACCAATGGCCCATCTAACCCACATGCAAACCCTGGCCCCTCTGACACCACAAATCCCACCCCTTTACCTGCTACCCCCACTGCCCCGATTCCCATTACCCTTAGCCTTCCAGCAAATCCTGATCCCTTATCTGTTCCTGCTGCTGCCGACCTACCTCCTGACACTGTGCCCACACCGACCCACCCCCCACCACCTCTCCGTCACTCTAATCGCTCCACGCACCCACCTGCTCATTTCAAAGACTATGTGGCTCATCATTCCGTCTTGCTCACGCCCCCGGCTCCCTCTCACTCCATGTCCAGCACTCGGTATCCTTTACATCGGTACGTCTCTTATTCATGTTTATCTCCTGGATATCGACAATTTGTTTCTCACATTTCCCATCTAGTGGAGCCAAATACTTATGAACAGGCCTGTCAAGATCCTCAATGGGTTGCTGCAATGCAAGCTGAAATTATTGCTCTCGAGAACAACAAAACTTGGAGTTTTGTCCCTCTTCCGCCTGGACAACGTCCCATTGGCTGCAAATGGGTTTTCAAACTCAAGTACCACTCCGATGGCACCTTGGAGCATTACAAGGCCCGGCTCGTCGCCAAGGGCTTCACCCAACGCGAAGGCATTGACTACAAAGAGACTTTCGCACCGGTAGCTAAACTTATCACTGTGCGCTGCTTATTAACTGTGGCTGCTGTTCGACACTGGCCTTTACATCAAATGGACGTCCAAAACGCCTTCTTACATGGCGAACTTCAGGAGGAGGTATATATGCTGCCACCTCCGGGTTTTAGTCGACAGGGGGAGAATGTCGTGTGTCGACTCCACAAATCCTTATATGGTCTCAAACAGGCATCGAGAAGTTGGTTTCGTGAATTCTCCACAGCTATATGTGACATTGGTTTTAGTCAATCTAAGGCAGATTACTCCTTGTTCACTCAAGTCAAGGGCAATTCTCTCACTATTGTGCTGTTATATGTTGATGATATGGTCATTACAGGAAACAATGAGGCTGAAATCAACAACCTGAAGGCATTTCTCAGCAGTCGATTTCGAATTAAGGATCTCGGACCCTTGAAATATTTTCTTGGAGTTGAGGTTGCGCGTTCGAAAGCCGGAGTCACGATTTGCCAAAGAAAATATACACTAGACATATTGGAGGAGGCTGGATTGCTTGGTGCTAAGCCTGCGAAGGTTCCCATGGAACCTGAGTTGGTGTTAACACCCACAGGTAGTGCTTCACTTCATGAACCTGCTCGATATAGACGCTTGGTTGGAAAATTAATTTATCTAACAATCACGAGGCCAGAAATTGCATATACCGTCAACACCTTGAGCCAGTTTATGCAAGATCCTCAACGACACCACCTTGATGCAGCATATCGACTTCTTCGATATCTCAAAGAGGCTCCTGGACAAGGTTTGGTGTTTTCTTCACAAAGCAACTTACAATTAACTGGTTATTGTGACGCAGATTGGGCTTGTTGTCCCACTACGCGTCGATCAGTGACCGGTTATTGTATCTTTCTTGGTAAATCACTAGTGTCCTGGAAAAGTAAGAAGCAAGTCACGGTGGCTCGTTCATCTGCAGAAGCAGAGAATCGATCGATGGCTACAGCCACTTGTGAATTAAGCTGGTTGCGGTATCTGTTGGAGGATTTACATGTTAAGCATCCCCAACCAGCAAAGTTATTTTGTGACAATCAAGCAGCCTTATACATTGCTGCAAATCCTGTGTACCACGAGCGTACAAAGCACATTGAGATCGATTGTCACACTGTCCGTGAACGAATCCAAAAAGGAGAAATCAAGACTGCCTATGTTCGAACAGGGGAACAAGTCGCTGACTTATTTACTAAACCACTACGTGTGCCTGTTTTCCATTCGCATCTAGGCAAGTTGGGTGTCATCGACATCCACACTCCAACTTGAGGGGGAGTGTTAAAGGAAAGATAATCTCATGATCTGATTGTGAGCTATTCTAGCATTTGGTGATTGGTCAACTCTTGGGCTAGAGTAATTGTAGGATGTAAATACAATTAGCTTGATTATAGACTCTGTTTACCTAATATAGCTTATAGCATCAGATGAAGAATAAGAAGAAGCATTTGCGCCATCCCCGGCTGAGGGAATGACTCTACGTGCCACATGGTAGGCACTTCGGTCTGAGAACTTCCCATTGCGTTCATAATGCCAAATTCGACAATCCACAACCGAACACATACTGATGGGAAGGCTGACAATTAGTTCCATTTCCTCCTGAGCCCATTGTCACGAGTCGGCAAGGAAGAGATTATCCACCGTCACTGCAACATCCCAGTACACCAACGGTGGACTCAAAATTCAAAAGTAGGAGTCTCTCGACAACCAATTATCTTGCCAAATTCTGATATTCTTCCCAACACTCAAAGTAATGCTAGGAAGACTAAATTTGTAGATAAAGTTTTAGAAACTAAAAGACATGAAAGTTGTTAATTGGTTTATTACCTAAGCTTTGATAAACGTGCTCATTCTTATTGGTGACACATCATTTAGTTTGTAAATTTTGTTTCAAAATTTTGTTTCCCTAGCATTAGAAAAAGTACCACGGATGAAAATAAGGTGAAAAAATAGGATACCACCACATCTTCCATTCCCTTACGGTCTTCATGCCATACCCCACCATCATCCTCATGACTATGTGGCCAATTCCTCTTTTATCTTCAATCAGCTTTTTGGTAGAAAATTTGGTGTTACGATCGCCAAGTTTGACCCAATTTTCTTTTGCTCTTTGTCTCCAAAATAGCTCCTCTTGTTCAAGCAAATTATTTAGTCTTCCACTTAGCTCATTCTTTTGCTCGATATTGACTCTTCAGTAGAAGGTTGACCCAAAATACTTGTAACTTTATCCTCCACTTCCATAACTGCACGCGGCCCAGTCGTGGCAAGTAATTCGCTTGTATTAAAACAACCATAAATAATAGTTCAGTAAAGACTTATGATAAAAACCAAATTAGGCTAAGCCACACAATTGAATGCATAATAATGTGGATCAAACTCGCCATTTATGAATCGAACTTGAGACTTCTCATTTAAATGTGAAAAAATACCACTAGGTCATAATATTTCACTACGTCAAATTTTGTCTTTATGAACTAGCCAAATCTAAACTGAACGGGAAATTTTATTTGAACCCAAATATCTTATCTCTACACCCAACTAACAAGTTTTATCTACCAAACTTCCAAGTTTACCCTTAAATAAATAAGAATAAGAAAAGAAAAGAAAAGAAATATTGGTGTTTTTATCTCTAGACCCCATAACTCCAAAAATGGCACACCAGTGTACTCCTCCATTATTTCTGGCAAAACCCACCCAAATAACAACAAAATATTTTCTCGAGTTTATCAACGAATCAACTTACTAGAAACCCTCATCAACCCTCATTTATAATTTCAATGTAGGTTTTTGGCTGATATATTTGCTTGTTTGAACCATTATTTAGGAGTTGGCTACTTGCATAAATTATTAAAACTAACAAGTCAGCTTGCTAGAAACCCTTGTTGCTATCTCTTCTAAATAGACACTGACATGGAAACTTTTTTCTCATATTGCAGGAATTTGTTTCATGCAACACGGATTTCTAGCCAACTTACTTGTTGATGAACTCAGGAGCATATTTTGTTGTCATTTAGGGTGTGTTTAGCGGGAAATAATGGAGGAGTGCAAATGTGTGCCCTTTTTTTGAGTTATTGGGTGTAGAGATAAAAACACAAATGTTTATTTTCTTTTATTTTCTTATTCGTATTTATTTAAAGGCAAACTTAAAAGTTTAGTAAAGAAAATTTTTTAGTTGGGTGTAGAGATAAAATAGCTGAGTCCAAATAAAATTTCTCAATGGCCACGTGATTATAATATCCTTGACCAGGTCAGCGTGGAAGATGGCAAGGAAACCGCCACGCATATTGTGAAGTCAAGAAAAGAGGCCTTATCATAAGTTCATAACACAAGAGATGGATCAGTCTTTGACATTTATTCTCTCAGCATCTCATCCTTTTTAGTAATCGAACGATCATGGATTCAACGACCAATGAAGGAGCCTCTTCCTCCTTGTCTTCTTCTTACACCCAGTCATGGACATATGATGTCTCCCTCAGTTTTAGAGGAGAGGATACCCGCTAAAATTTTGTAGGTCATCTGTACAACAATTTGGTTCAGAAGGGAATCAAAACCTTCATGGACGATGAGGCGCTTAAAAGAGGAGCGGAAATATCATTGGCGCTTCTCAAAGAAATTGAGGATTCGAGGATTTCTCTCGTTGTCTTCTCCGAAAACTACGCTTCCTCAGAGTGGTGCTTAGATGAACTCGTTCACATCTTTCACTGTAAAAAGCAACTGCAGCAGATGGTTTTTCCAGTTTTTTACAAGGTGGATCCATCGGATGTGAGGAACCAAAGAGAGTTTCGGTAAGGCACTTGCTGACCATGAAAGCAAACTCAAAGATAACATGGACAAGGTGTTGAGATGGAGAGAAACTCTTACAAAAGCAGCAAATTTGTCTGGCTGGTCATTCCTGGCCGACGGGTATTTTTCTGACCTCTATGTACTTGCAAACCTATCATTCAAATGTAAAATAAGTGTATTATTTGCTTCAATTCATAAGCATAATTTGAAGGCTTTTTAGCCAAAATGGTTTTTCTGAGCATAACTCTTTATTTTTTTCTTTAAGATTTAAAATCAATAGAAATGGTTCTTGAGATTGTTCATCGTCAATCATTTTGGATATTCTGTGAAAAAAAAATTTCTATTAAATTGAGTGTATTTTTGTCAAATCAATCACTCCACTTGAACTGGTGGTTTCTTCAATTTAGCTGAGATTTCTCATATAATGACTAAAATGATTGACGATGGACACTCTCAAGAGACACTTCTATCGATTTTAAATTTCACTGACGAAAATGACGAGTTATAACAATTTTAGCAACTATTTTAGTTAAAAAGACTAACATAAATATATAATATTTGAGAAATGCTAAGGAGACCCTCTCAAAATAGAACTCTCTCACATCTCATAGTTTAGTGTTAGTTCCCTTGCCAACATTCTAAAATATTGTGACAAAAAGTTCATGGAGAGTCTCACTTTTGAGAAATTATCCTTAGCATTTTTTTCATAATATTTTGATATTATTCCCTCACAATTTATAGGAAAACTTGTTTAAGTTATTCATTATTAGTATGTGAAGTGAACACATATTGGAGAATATGATCCCACATCGGCCATATGATAACATAATATACCACAAATATATAAGAGTTTGCACTCCTAATACTAGCAAGAATTTTTGTAGTAAAATCTAATACTGAGTAGTATGAGAGTTTTTATGATTAGTATTTCACTATTATGTGGAATATCCAAATATTTTTTTTAGTATGGTCTAATATTATTCATTTAGTTCAAAAATATTTGACTTTCTTTTTCTTGAGTAGAGTTGTCTGTCTACACTTAAAATATTGATTACATGGAACATCCACGAATTTCTTGTAGTTTAATTATAATAATGTTCTTTTTTATGCTTTTAAACTTGTAGGCATGAATATAAATTTATTCAAAAAATTGTTGAAGAGATTTCGGTCCAAGTTTTAGGTATTACCCATTTGAACGTGGCAAAGTACCCATTTGGAATAGAGTCACGTGTCAAACAATCCAGTACGGTTTTTTTGGATCTTGGATCTGTTCCTGTCCTCGATCGCGAGCAATTAGCCCTCCAACTCCGTCAAGGACAAACCGAAGATCAAAAGCGCCACCAGCACCATTTCCTCTCCAGTCTCTCCCCCTCACGCCGTTCCTCCGACGCCGCACCGCCCGCAACCACCGCCAATTTTGATCAAGACCGAGATTGGGATAGAGAGAGAGACCGAGAGAGAGACGGAGATCGAGAACGCATTCCTTTAATGGTGTTGCTTCCGCCCTCGCTTTCTTAGCCGGAAGATTTGTTAGGATTCGCTTTCTTATGTATGCTGTGTTACTGATTGGTTTGGCGATGCAGGCACAAGATTGCAGGCAGCTGGAAAGTCGGATAAGGAGGAAGAAGAAGGATCTGATAGTTTTGGGATTCTTAACCGCTTTGATGGTCATCATCGTTATAGTTAGAGCAAGTCCACCCCTGTGGACTTTGCGCCAACACCCAGCGCATTTATCCACTCAAATGAACAGTAACAGACTCCAATGAACAGTAATAGGCCAAGGCATCTCCACCCCTAAAACTAAATAGCCTAGTCAATTTTATTAAAATATTATTAATTTTTATTATAAAATAATAATTTTTATTAAAGTACTCTCTGGACTCCATTCTTCTTTTTCTTCCGTGATTTTCCAACTGTGCTGTCAAGCACAGTTTCACCACTTTTTCTTCCCTTCTTCTTTTTCTTCTCTTCAAACCACCAAAACCCATGTGAGATTTTAGCCAAGTTCGGCCCTACCCCACGAGCCGCAACCACCAAACGAACCCGACGACCCGCAATCCCACCCAACCCTCCTCCCCCATCCCCTCACCCATTGGTGCGCCAACCAAAACTGCAAACCCTTCGCCGTCGATCCTCTCGATCCCCGGAGCTCCTCCGATTGCGACTGGTTCTCCGACGCCGCCTCCGATTCAGACCATGACGTCAGCTACTTCGTCACCGATCTATTCAATCGCTGCAGCTCCGAGCAACAGCCCAAGACCGAGAGGGAGAGTTTTGGATATGGAAGCTCGAGTTGGGGTGGTGGTGGAAGGAAAGCAGAGAGCTTCGAATTCAGCTCAAGGAGATGTGGCGGTATCGCCTGGCATCATGTAGGCCGGGCAAGAGCTCAGCACATTCTGAGCCGGCCTAGAGACCAGCTTGGGCTGGGTGCCAGCCTATCTGCTCGGCTGGAATGGATTGGCTGGGTGCCGGGCCAATAATTTGGCTGGGTGCTGGCCTAAAGGTTCCCCGGTGGAACTGCTCTTATAGGAGTGGTGGCAGCTTGATAGGCGTCCGCCTAGCCAATGGAGGTGGCGAAAAAACGATATTTTTTTATTTTTTATTTCATTTTTTCAATAAAATCGAAGAGACTTTTGAATACTTAGAGCATCTCCAAAAAATATGTTAAATATAATAGGTTAAAATTTTATTTGATGGTTGATGTGATAAATTGAATACAAGTGCTTTTTTTTTTTACCCAATGAATGTATCAAATATTTATTTTATTATTTTATTGGGCCTAAAGTTACATTAACTATTAAAAAATAATAAAAAAATATTGTAGTTTTATTTTATTGGTTGTTAATGAGACCCACGTATTAAAAAATTCAATTAAATATATTTGATTCCTTCTTTGTTTGTTGTAAAAAAAAGACAGCTAGAAAGTAAACCGAAGATCAAAAGCGCCACCAGCACCATTTCCTCTCCAGTCTCTCCCCCTCACGCCGTTCCTCCGACGCCGCACCGCCCGCAACCACCGCTAATTTTGATCAAGACCGAGATTGGGATAGAGAGAGAGAGAGAGAGACCGAGAGAGAGACGGAGATCGAGAACGCATTCCTTTAATGGCAAGGACGGAGCTACCATGGGCCTAGGGGCGGATGCCCCCACTGAGATTTTTCTGATGCTGACTCTTTTGCGGGATTGATTCTCAGAGGACGAGTACTGTGTGCTGCCTTATGATTGCCATCCTCATTATATGGCATAGAATAGATTGACATTCGAGCCCATATTCATTGATTAATTTTTCCTTTTCCAGATTAATCCCTATCTTCTTCACCCTGAGATGAATATCATCAGCAGTTCGTTGGTCCTACAAAGCGTCGTGCACCAACATTTATCTTGTCTCCACCTTTCGGCTTTCACATTAAGCTTATAGTTTGACAAATGTCCCAGCGAAAGATAATTTTCATCATGCTGGCATGCTGCTCAAACTGATCGGGTTTTGCAGCAGCAGAGGCAGAGCCCCCACTGATATTTTTCTGGTTTTGCTCTCCGATCTGGTTCTGCAAAAGCAGAGCTAGGTTTTATTTTTTTTTTAAATCCAGGCCAAAACGACGTCGTTTTGGTCCTGGTATAAAAAAAATAGTAAACGAAACGGCGTCGTTTCGTATATGTTTGAAAAAAATAAAAGGTATGTATAGTGGGGGACTGCTTGTCCCCACCCGGTCCACCCCCATTCCATTATTTCCATCTTTCCGTTTCCTTTGCCAATCAGAGAGCAGCTCTTCACCAATTCCCCAAATTCCAAGCAGGCAGCAGCAGAAACGGAACAGAACAGAAGCAACAAAGGTGTTGTTCCCAGGCTCCCAGCCAACCACGCGCAGCCAGCCACTCACCAGCCAGCCGCTCTAGTCGACATATATATATTTAGGTAATTTTTTTAATTTCTAAATCTATAATCCCTAACCCTAATTAATTATTTAAGATGAATTTTTGTTTAATTGGTATAGAAATATAGAATCATATGGTAATGCACTAATATGGTTATTGGTTATTGATATGAATTCTATGATTATTGATGAATGAAATTATGAAATTACAAATTCTATGAATATGGGTATACATTTATTCATATGATTAGTTGAATTAAATGTTTATTTGTTGAATAATTTGTATGTTTATTGGTATTGCCATATTGGTTATTGGTTAATTGAATTGTTGCCTTGGTTGGATATGGATTAGTTATTAAGTATATTAATATAGTATACTCTAGGATTAAGAGTCTAAGAATTTTATTGAGATTTTTATTCTATAAATTCTACAAATTACGTATGAACCTTATTTGTTATTGGTATCAATATGATTGACTTTGCAGACTGAAACATCATGGAGAGGTTTTTTAAAAAAAAATATTAGTGCCGCCATCCCCAGTTATTGAGAAAAATTATGATACTCAAGGACAAGATAGTACATAATTTATTTTATCAAATCTTCCATTAGATCCTGGTAAGCGAATTCGAATTTTGGATTACAATCCTAATATTCGAGATCAAGTACGAAGAGCGTATGTGCTAGCTGGTCCTCAACAACCTAAAACCCATAATTTTCCTTACAAGAAATATGGAGACACGCAAAGACGATTCAACCCTGCTTGGTTTGATGATTTTCCTACTTGGTTGGAATATAGTGTAGAAAAAGATGCTGCCTTTTGTCTGTGTTGCTACCTTTTTAAACCAAACATTGGAGAACAAGCAGGTGGTGATTTCCTTGTTGGCGAAGGATTTTCTAACTGGAAGAAGAAAGAAAGACTTCTAACTTATATTGGAGGCGTCAATAGTGCACACAATCAAGCATGGAATAGTTTTGAAGCTTTAAGGAGTCAAAAGCAACATATCCAATCTTTTTTCTCTAAAACTCATGATGAAGCTCGGATTCAATATAGGGCTCGGTTGAATGCATCAATCGATTGTTGTCGATTTCTTTTGAGACAAAGACTTGCATTTCGTGGTAATGATGAATCTGAACATTCAAGCAATCATGGGAACTTTCTTGAGCTTCTACAGTTTCTTGCCAACCATAATAAGGATGTGAAAGCCGTTACTTTGAAAAATGATCCGGAGAATCACTAATTGACATCACCAGATATTCAAAAAGACATTGTAAATGCTTGTGCAACTGAGACCATCAGGGCTATTATTAAAGACATTGGCACTTCGTTGTTTTCTATTTTGATTGATGAATCTCGCGACGTATCAACAAAGGAACAAATGGCTATTGTATTGCGTTATATGGACAAGAATGGGCATGTCATTGAGCGCCTTATTGGCATTGAGCATGTTACTAGTACCGCTGCTCTCTCACTCAAGGAAACCATTGATGAGGTATTTTCTAGGCATAAATTGAGCATGTCTAGGTTGCGTGGGCAAGGTTACGATGGGGCCAGCAATATGCAAGGTGAGTTCAATGGTCTTAAAGCTCTAATTATGAAAGAAAATGGTTGTGCTTATTATATTCATTGCTTTGCACATCAACTTCAATTAGCTCTTGTAGCTGTGGCAAAGAAGAACATCCAAATTGAGTCTCTTTTAGTATAGTTACTATTTTGGTAAATGTTGTTGGAGCTTCATCGAAGCGTTGTGATCTTCTTCGAGAGAAGCAATCTATTGCAGTTATTGAAGCACTAAACAGTGGTGAGTTTACAAGTGGGAAAGGCAAAAATCAAGAAACTACTTTGAAACGTGCTGGAGAAACACGTTGGGGTTCACATTTGGGTACTTTAGTAAGTATAATGACTATGTTTTCATCCATACTTGATGTACTTGAAGTAATAGCAGATGATGGAGTAAGCTCTCAACAAAGATGTGAAGCGAATAATTTATTGGATTCCATGCAATCATTTGATTTTGTGTTTAATCTACACTTGATGAAAGATATACTAGGAATAACCAATGAATTGTCAAGCATTGTAAAGGAAGGATCAGGATATTGTAAATGCCATGAAGTTGGTTGGAGTTTGTAAGCAAAGGTTGGAGATAATGAGGAAAACTGGTTGGGATTCTTTACTTAGTGAAGTCTCAAAATTTTGTCTTAAACATAATATTGATGTGCCTAATATGGATGATATGTTTCTTTCTCAAAGGCGAGGGCAACGAAAAGCACAAGCAGTCACAAATATGCATCATTATTGTGTTGGGATATTTTATGTTGTTTTGGATTGGCAGCTCCAAGAACTAAATAATCGTTTCAATGAGACCAACACTGAGTTACTTCTTTGTTTGGCATGTTTATGTCCAGCTGACTCCTTCTCTGCTTTTGATAGCCAAAAGCTATTGCGTCTTGCCCAGTTTTATCCTAAAGACTTCTCTTTGAATGAGCTGGTGATACTTAAGATTCAACTTGAGACTTACATTGTGGATATGCGATCTAGCATTGAGTTTTCAGGTTTAAAAGACATTGGAGATCTTGCAAAGAAAATGGTTCACTGCAAAAAGCACAAGGTGTATTCGCTGGTTTACTTGTTTTTGACATCCAGTTGCTACTGCAACCGTTGAAAGAGCATTTTCGGCCATGAAAATTCTGAAGAATCGATTGAGAAATCGGATGGGAGATCAATGGATGAATGATAACATGATTATTTTTATAGAGAGAGAGATATTTGATGGTATTGATAATGATGTTGTCATGCAACGCTTTCAGAACATGAAAACGCGTCGAGGGATATTGTAAGGGACTGTTGTATGAAAAACTTTCTGGATTAATATACAAGTATGTGTTTAGTAAATTCTTGAGCTTTTTAATTATGACTTTATTATTTGATGATGCCCTCATTCACACAAATCTCTGGCTTCGTCCCTGTTTAATGGTGCTGCTTCCGCCCTCGCTTTCTTAGCCGGAAGATTTGTTAAGATTCGCTTTCTTATGTATGCTGTGTTACTGATTGGTTTGGCGATGCAGGCACAAGATTGCAGGCAGCTGGAAAGTCAGATAAGGAGGAAGAAGAAGGATCTGATAGTTTTGGGATTCTTAACCGCTTTGATGGTCATCATCGTTATAGTTATAGGAGTGGTGGCAGCTTGATAGGCGTCCGCCTAGCCAATGGAGGTGGCGAAAAAACGATATTTTTTTATTTTTTATTTCATTTTTTCAATAAAATCGAAGAGACTTTTGAATACTTAGAGCATCTCCAAAAAATATGTTAAATATAATAGGTTAAAATTTTATTTGATGGTTGATGTGATAAATTGAATACAAGTGCTATTTTTTTTTTCCCCAATGAATGTATCAAATATTTATTTTATTATTTTTTTGGGCCTAGAGTTACATTAACTATTAAAAAATAATAAAAAAATATTGTAGTTTTATTTTATTGGTTGTTAATGAGACCCACGTATTAAAAAATTCAATTCAATATATTTGACTCCTTCTTTGTTTGTTGTAAAAAAAAGACAGCTAGAAAGTAAGGCGTCAAATGACTCACATGTCACATCATATATGGCATATCCATTGGATAACACCTAAATGTCTTTTAATCTTATTTGACATCTCCTTTGGAGATGGTCTTATATGAACATCTATTATAAGGTTGTTCTCTTGTTTTCAGTATGTTCTAATATTTTATAATTTATGTCATTTTAATTTGCAATGTATGTATCCAATACAATTATGTATTTTTAAGTATGCCACGTTATGTACTATTTACTTGATAATTTGAATCAAATCCACACCAT